AAGACTTGGCTAAATCTGGATGAAATTTTTTAAAGTTCTGCAAAGTGTTTAACAGTTGAAAAGTGGTGTTCTCTGAAAGGAATGAACAAAATAGCACCCATAATGCATAATCCACTGATTTAACTGGGAATTTTTCTATGAGTCATTACACTCTTCTACGGGTACCTCTGTACTTAAGGGTTTTGAAGACTGCATATATCTACAAATATAGATGTTCTGGTCTACATCAGCTATTATTAAATTAATCTTAAATTTATTTGAGAAGCAGGAAAAGAACTGTACACTGTTAAGCCATTTACAATTTAAAACTTTGGTTTAAACAAATCAGCATTTTCACTAACACCATTGTATTTGAAATGTCCACTACAAAGGGAAATATTCTTTAATATTTCATGTACATTATACAGACTGGCATCGGGTAGATACAATCCTTTTGTTTTGCCAATTCACAAGCACAATGAAAAAGAACAAAATCACTTTATCCTAATCAGTCTTACTTATAGCTTTCTTCATGAGGTAATCTTCAGGTGCAGTAATATATAACCAGCATGAGAGAGAGTGGATTCTGCCCCCTCCTCTGCAGGGCTGCATCTATCTTTGGGGTCCCAGCACAGGAGGGACAGGGACCTGTTGGAGCCAGTTCAGAGGAGGCACCAAATTGATCAGAGGGATGGAGCAGGCAGATTAGAGAAAAGGCTGAGGCAACTGGGATTGTTCTGCCTGGAAAAGAGAAGGCTCTGGGGTGGCCTAATGGGGGCCTCCCAGTACCTGAAGGGAGCCCACAAGAAAGATGGAGGAGGGAGTGACAGGACAAGGGAAAGGGCTTCAAACTGACAGAGAGTAGGTTTATATTAGACATTAGGAAAAAAAATCTTTATTGTGAGTATGGTGAGGCCCTGGCACAGGCTTTCCAGAGGAATGTTACCCCAGGGTATCCAGGCTACCCCATCCCTGGAAGTGTTCAAGGCCAGCTTGGATGAGCTCTGAGCAACCAGGTCTATTGGAAGGTGTCCCTGCCCATGGTAGGGGGTTCAGAACTATATGACCTATAAAGTTCCTTCCAACCCAAACCATTCTGTGATTCTATGGTATTTATCTGCAGGGCATATTGTGAGCATAAGGGGACACCATTCCCGATTTGCATCAAGAGGTTTCGGAGTTGTTATCTGGCTTTGTATGAAATAGCTGTAATCATCTGAGACACTTAAAAACCCCTGACACTGTAACGTTTGGCAACGGTAAAATAGCTGTCACTGACTGCACACAAGAATTAAGGAAGAATTAACTCGCAGACCATTTATGGGAGTATGTGTGGGCAGTGCACATTATGCAGAGATACGGATCGGATCCTTTACGTGAAGAAATTATTAAATGAATAAATCTCTATTATATGCAAAATAAAGGGGAAAAAAAAAGGAAGAAAAAAAAAGGAAGAAAAAAAAAGGAAGAAAAAAAAAAGGAAGAAAGCAAGGCGAGATAAAACCTTTGGGACCCCAAAGCCGCGGCGACGCGAGGCCGGCCGCTGCCCG